ACCTGAATATTGACAGACATGTGAGTGTTTCCTAAGCATAAGGACAGGAGGAGGAAGAATATTCTAGAACAGAGACCATTGCAAGAACAAAGGTACAGAGAAGGAAACACTGAGTGTCTAAGGAGCTGGCCACAGATTGAGTTGGCTGGGATGTGACATACAAGGTGGAAAGAATCTAAGATCTGAGTGTGACAGATGACAAAGGGTCTTCCATACCTTGCTTCTGGCCTGGAATTTCTTTTAAATGGAGCAAATAAAAGGTTTTATGGGATTTGGTTTTCGTTCTTGAGATATTGTCTCACTTTATTGCCAAAGCTGCCCTTGAATTCCTTGGCTCAAGTGATCTTCCTACCTCAATCTCCCAAATAACTGGAACTGCAGTTTTTGCCACTTGCCAGGCTCAGTGCAAGATTTTAAATAAGGGGATATTGTTGCTTTAGTGACTTTTCTTATTGCTGAGACAAAATACTCAACACCTAAAGTTAGAGGAAGAAAGGTTTATTGTATCTCACAGTTTATGAAAGTTTCAGTTCATAGTTGGCTGGCCTCAAGGTAGGGTTGCATAACAGAGGGGCATCAAAGAGAAGAAATAGTTCATGGCAGGAAGAAGGTAGTACGCAGCAACATAGCAGCAGCTTGCTTCTCCCTTTTATCCCTTCAAGGATACTTGCCCCTTGGGTGGTGCTGCCCACATCCAGGTGGGCCTTTCCATTATCCAAACCCAGAACTATGCCAGAACGATCAGTGAACTAATTTATTGTGCTTTTTTTGTACTGGGGATCTAGCACATGACCTCATGCTTGCTGGGCAGGCTCTGTGCTCTTAAGCCATAGACTAATTTAATAACCACAGATCCAAGCATCATACACTTAGTGACAGCACCACACACTCAATCCTAGCATCACACATCCTAGATCCAACTACCTCTAAAAAGCCCCACCTATAACTGCATGAGGCTTTTAGGGGATGTCTACACACAGCCGTAACAGTTGGGGTCCGACTGAAATCACCAGTGTGACTCTGGTGACCTTGTGGAGGTAGGTTAGAGAGAGTAAAAAATGTGAAGCTAGAAACTCAATTGAAAGTTATTGCAACAAGAGCTGAGAGTCTGAATGAAGTCTGTGCAGAAAGAATAGAAAAGAAAGAATGGATTTAATGAGGCCCAGGGATCAGCTGGTAGCAGTGAGGGAAGGAAAGATGTGGCCCCGTCAGTTAAGCTTAGGGAGCTCTTGACAATGTGAAGGTTGTAGAAGTGGAAGAAAAGGGTGAAATCAGTTCTGGCAAGTTAAAGTGGAAAGTCTGGAAGTCAGAGACAAAATCTTCAGGGAGAAAATAAACACATGGCCCTGCAAAACTACCAGAAGTCTAACCTTTTGCGGTGGATTTAAGGGTCAGCATATAAGGGATATTTAAACAGCAGGAGGATTCATGAATCCAGAGCAAAGGCTTAAAGTGAGAAAAGATGGCCAATAAGAGAACCTCAAGAGCATCAGTTTCTAAGGAGCAGACATGGAAAAGCAAGCCAGCAAGGACATTGAGAATGTGTGGTCAGAGAGGCGACTCAACAACCAGGCAACAAGGAGACTCCAATGTCAGGGAGAAGAGAAGGAGTGGTCAAGGGTAGCAAAGGCCGTGCTAAGATGAACAGAATGACCTAGACACATTGTGAGTTGGGTAATTAGGAGGCCAATGTTGATCAGAGACACAGCAGCTTTAATGATACAGTGATAAAGTGTGAGGGGTGGGTAGAAATCAGATCATAGCGGTTTGATGTGTGGATGGGAGATAAGAAAATGTAGATACGTGAACTGATTATTCTCTCATTGAGGATGACTCTTTTCTACATGAAGCGATGCCAAGCCTGGGCTGAGTGGGGGCTGGAATAGGTGGAGGGGGTCTCTTATCCAAAGCAATGGCACATGTTAAAAGCAGATGAAGGCCAGAGATATAGCTCAGCGGCACCACCCCTGCCTGGCAAGCGTGAGGTCCTAACTTCGATTGTCCGATTGTCCATACCACAAAAAGAAAAAATGCAGATGAATAGTCAGAGCTGAGAGTCAAGTGAGAAAGTGACCCCAGTAAACCATATATGGAGTTTGAAAAGTTCCCCCAAGGTGGGGGACCAAAGCCACTCTCTGAAGCTGGATTAGGGTCAAGCATAAGACAGCTAGCTTGTAGGCAGGTACTCAAGAAGAATGTGCAGGGAGGGAGATAGAGTGCTGCTGGCCTGCATTCCAGGGACTGATGGGGCTGGGACCAGGGAGGGAGGGAGCTAAGGAGACCATAGGGAGAGGTGAGGGCCTGAAGGAAGAAGCAGGGCAGTTTCAGGAGTTAAAAAACCTAGTAGGTGGTAGTTCTCCATATGTGAAAATTTCAGCAAGAGAAGGATTCCAGATGATAAAGTCTGGACACAAGAATAGGCCACAGGATGAGGTAAACGTGAAGGTTCTCAGAACTGAAGTCAAATTTCTGGGAAATTGCAATGTGATAATCTTCCCCATGGACATTGAAGTTGCCCGCCATGATGGAAGAAATTGGAATCATGGGGAAAACACATCTAAGTTCTCAGTGAACTGAATCCTAACCAGGAGATGACAGTTGTTAATAAGTGAAGACAAAAAAGCTAAGATAGGGTAAACGTGCACACAGCAAGGAGTTCTTGCAGGAGTGGACATGTAATGTGGCCATGAGCCTGGGAAGGGCAGCTTCAACTCCTACCAGACCTGCTGGACAGTGGGGTGGGGGTGAAAAGGAGGTGATACCTCTTTGAGGCTGGAACGGGAAATGGACATTTCTATTTCAGTAGCAGCAGGTAAGGAGAGACAACTATCTTTACCACAGACAGGTAAAGTGCTTTCAGCAACTAAAAACCATCTTTTATTTTCTGCCTGAACTCTTGGATTAAGTGTTTCCAGGGAATCACAAAAAGACAGTTGTACTGACTGGGTAACATTTAATATGATCAGGTCTTAAATAAGAAACCATGAACATAAACATTTAAAACCAAATATATAATAAATAATCATTAAGTTATAAAGTACATAGTTTATATTAAAACTAAATTCTCAGATGTGAATGTAAATACAACAGAGCAATAATATAGAATAATAATGCTACAACTTTACACAAGGATCCAAAGAAGGCACATTCAGCTAAAATAGCGAAAAGTCGTGATTAATTTTCCCTAAACTCTCATTCTCCCATAGCCTACAGCAATGTATTTGTTTTCTTCCTTTCTCCCTTCTTCCTTTCCTTTTTTAAAATTGAAAACACTTCCCTTCTTTCTGCAGTGAGTATTGCTACAAATGCTGTTGAAGTAAGGTTGAGGGATTGAACATCAAAGTCAGTACAATGTTTTTCTCAGAAGTGTGGTCAGGTGTTCCTGGCAGGGTACCCAGAGCCTTAGAGATTCCTCGATATATAAAGCTCTAAAACATGCAGAATAATCTTTAGAAATGGAGTCTGCACCCTTTTTCTGTAGATAAGGAAATGGAAACCCAGAAAGTTTAAGAGGCCACAATTTCAGAGCCAAACACATTTCAGGTCTCTGTATCACCAGAAAAGATGAAGAGAGACATGCACAGGTCATCTCTGTGTCCCTCTGAGAACTGACTAAATCAAGCAGTGAAGGTAGGGAAGAAGATGGAACTGTTTTATTGCCTTTTCTGGGGTGCTGGTGGGATCTTGACAGAACAATGCCTGCTTACACTAATTTTACTAGAGTAGATACACTCCTGGAAAGGTTAGAACAGAGATTTCTAGTGATAAACAAAATAAATACATCGTTTTAAATATAAATTTACAGTGTTGAGAAGTCAACCAAGTAAAAAGCCAGGAGTAAAACTTTAGACTCCGCTTTCTATACACTTTCTTTCAGAGGTTTTACATCTCTGTGCCAGCTTTCAACTTTAATCCCAGCAACCTGGGCTGGCACCTTTAACAATCTGGCAGCTTTTATATGCTTACCATCATCAGTAGGCTCATATGTCCATGATTTCTGTACAGGAACATCTTCTAAAATTTTTAAAGAGTACTTTGTTTCTGATGATAAAATAGAAGACCTAGCTTCGGTTATGCCTCTATTTCTTCATTGAGCTTTGCTTAAATCATTGATTTTCCATATGTCTTTTAGAATTTTATGTGAAGTCTGTGTTTGTTTTTAAAATGCTTTCAAGTAGATAATTTTTTTTCTGAGAGCATAAAGCCTTTCCTCTCGCATATCCTCATGCACACTCAGAGCTATTTTAACAATAAGAAATTCTCAAATAGCTTATACCATTCTAGTGAAAATTTTACTATTCTAGAGTTTCTATAGTTAAACAAACTGCTGCAATTGATATAAAATGGAAGTTAGAGCAGGTTGCTTGTTTTTACTGCCCATGGGTGAAAGATGAAAACGTTTATGCAGAAGTTTGTTTTAAATTGGAACAAGACTCCTGGCCTCTTAATTTGTCTCCTGATTTTGTTTTAGGAAAGTGATTAAATTTGTCGTGTACAAATCATGCAACCATAGCCAAAGACTAAACATGTTTTGAAATGTCTTCATCACAGAAGTTTCATTTTAAAAAGAAGAAAGGAAAGAATGGGGGGAAGAAAGGCGATGGGCACCTGGAGTTATTAGTTCACTCGTAATACAACCCAGCAATTTGAAAAGACAACTGCAAGACTTTTTCACTATTTGATTCCAGAAGGTTACCTGCTATATCCTTCTCTAACTTTTAATTGACATTTTGACAAACTTCAGATATTAGCTTATAAAGGGACTTCAGACTAGGGGCAGGTAACATTCAACCCACTTTTTAATACTAAATTACCACTTTTTTAAAAAAAACAGCAAAGAATAAAAGTCTATTCCATAAATACATTCATATCCATAGTATTTAAATATTTTTATAAACCCAATAATGAAATAAGATTTTTTGCACCCATCTGCTGAAACTATCCTCCTCCTACTTAAATTACATATTTATATGTTATACATCCTGAAATAAAAAGTGAACTCCTCAGATATAAACTTTTAAATATTTAGTTTTCATTTCAACAAAAGAATAAAGATTTCAACTTTGCATTTTGATCCTATGCTTGCATATTTTCAGCTTCTATATTTTCACCTTTTAAATTATGATCATAATAAACCTCATTCTTGTGGTAATCAAGATCAAGGTTAACACAGGATTAGTATGTTCCCAAATTGTATTTTTGGTTAAAAATTTCACTGTCTCATCCAGTCAAGAGATGTTATAGTTGGGCAGTAAGATACAGTAAAAACTTCAGTGGTCAGAGAAATCCATGACATAGGAAACCAGACTCTAGTTGAGTAGAAAGTTTTTCCAAGTTGACCAGCTATGTAGCATATGGATTAAACTGAAGTACTGCATAATAATTTTGGGGAAATTATCCTAACTTTGCACACCTATCTGAGGTCTTTTTTCCCACCCTTAATATATTATACTTTTATGCACTTGAAATATCAAGAAGTGAGTCTCACTACTGTATTAGAGTACATAATATAGTGTCCAGCTTCAGATTAGATCTTCAGGAATCTTCCTGTTCCATGCATTCTAGGAAAGGTGCTGATGAATCATCTGTGGAAATAGTAAGCCATGAGTAATCTAAATATAACATGCAATTTGGATAGGTAAATATAAACATAGAAAATCAGATACCTTTTGGAGAAGTGATTTCATCCTTTCTAGGAATTCTCGAGGTGGTTTTTTCTCATAAGAATCACATGAATGGCATGTCTAGAAATCAATGAGAAAGTAGCATTCCCCATGTAAAATTTTCTCCTGCTTAACAAAATGTTCATTTAAAATTTATTTTTGCCATATAAAACAGAAATGATGTTCACTAAACAACATTTGGAAAAGTACATAAAATTCTTCCAAACAATGGGAAAAGACACTTGTAATCTCACCCCAGAGATAACCACTGCAGTGCTTTAATATGTATCCTCCCAGTGTCTTGTTTTTTAATTTTATTCTCATTTATGTTACACTAGTTAGTAATTTTTGTGTTGTTTTTAGTTAATGTATCACATGTATTTCCTACATGTTAAGTACCCTTTAAATATATGATGTATGATAATTGCTTTGTATTCCAAATGTAATTGTTACTATTTTTGGACACATATGTTGCTTGCTTTCTCCTTTGAATATAAACTGCAAAGAAGTATTAACACATCTATAAAAAAATTTTCATATGCATTTTAATTTATTTTGAACATTCATAGAAGCAGAATAATGAAATTAAGGGGATACAAATTTCTAAAGCATTGGAAAATGCACAGTATAAAGTTTTACCCCTTTTACCTGGAGCATTTTTATTTTGGGGGTCTTTTAAAAAATTCTAAACTGGAAAACATACGATTTCTTTATTTTAACTGGGATTTATTTGATTACTAGGAAGATTAAATAAGTTTTCATGTATGTTGCATGGTTACATTTATTTATTCCTTTCTTCTTAATTTCTTGGTTTATAGTCTTTACTCTTATTCCTGTAGGGATACCAAACACTAGGTCATTGCTTGATATTTAGTGCCCAGTACCAGCAATGAGAACATCTGGCTGAAAGATAACAGAGAAGCTCCAGTTCTCATTTTGACAGTTAACCACTTTCTGGAACTTGGGGACAAGTCACCTCTTTAGTAGTACTCAAAGCTGATTAACTGGATAGTTCTGAGTTCAATCCCAATATTCCCATTTCATGAGCCTTTGGTTTGGAGCTTGAAAGTCATGCTCCTTTTTTTATGAAGAAAATTTTAAAAGGCTATTTTTCACATGGTAACCTGGTCAAGCAATCAAAGAAAGAATCATTTTGATAGTGTAATTAAGATTTCATTGGAATCACATGTAGAGTTTCTTAGACGAGCAAGAACTGATAAAATTTAAAGTAACTTATTTTATGTGGTTTCCATGGTTTTGATTAATGTTTAAATTACTCATGTTCTTGAGTATCAGCATTGTTCATGACTTGGCATAAGAGATATATAAGAAGGACTCAAGCCCCCAAAACAGGGGACATTGAAATTTCCCGGACAAGAAATGGGATATACTTATTTAAATTCAGTGCTGACTCTGTAATTGTCTGGCATAATAATATTCTTTAAGAGAGAAAACCAGTTTGATATTTATCATGTCCAAACCCAGGAGGTAGCGCCTATCAATAAGAATACAAGTTATATATGACCATATGTATAATGAGAAGGAAATATTTCTTAATTTCTAAATCACAATTGCATTCTCTTCCGAATGACTTCCGTCATCTTCAGAAGTACATTAACATATCCCAGCTGTTATCAGAAATTCTAATAATTTGCTAGCAGTTGAGATTCAAGTACTGGAAAGAGGAGTTCCCATTTCTCAAAACCTACCATGTATGACAAGGAAGACACTGAAGGCTCTGGCTAAAAGGGTGTGTGAGTGTGTGAGTGTGTGTGTGTGTAAGCATGCTGTTGTAATATAACAACTACATTACATTATAGTTAATGCAGATAAAACATGTGACAAATTATAATCTTACTTGTCTATGTTTCTTCCTTTTGTCCGTGTTTGAAGGAGGTAGTTTCCTCTTCAGCTGTTTAATTAATATGCTGATAATCTTTTCATTGCCTCCTGTATTTGCTGACTTGAGTTTAGCCTCCTGAAAACATGCAAAAGCTGAGTGCTCACAGTGTTCCTGAAAGAGAAATAAGTTGTATGCATGTCAACGAAAGTTCTTCAAAAAGTTAAAATGACCTTCCCAGCTACCTCGACTAACTGTCTGAGATCACATTTATTTCAAGAGAAGGTGAGGTGTCTGATTTCACCTCCACCTAATCTTTGACCAAAAGAAACAGAGGGACTGGGAATGTAGCTCAGCAGTATAGTGCCTGCCGGGCAAACACAAGATCCTGGATTCAATTCCCAGGAAAGAAAGAAAGAAAGAAAGAAAGAAAGAAAGAAAGAAAGAAAGAAAGAAAGAAAGAAAGAAAGAAAGAAAGAAAGAGCAAGAGAGAGAGAAAGAAAGAATGAAAGAAAGAATGAAAGAGAAAGAATGAATGAAAGAAGAAAGAAAGAATGAAAGAGCAAGAGAGAGAGAGAAAGAAAGGAAGAAAGAAAAAGAAAGAAGAAAGAAAGAAAGAAAGAAAGAAAGAAAGAAAGAAAGAAAGAAAGAAAGAAAGAAAAAGAAAAGAAAGGAAGAAGAAAAAAGAAATGGCTGCTTCAAAATTTCCTCTTGTCTTAGAGAAGAGGGACATTTGTTTTCCTACACTGCAAAAATGAGGGAAAGGAGTGTGAACTTTTGCAATTCTTTAATCCTAATCCTCTATGGAGGACCATTTTGATGTTTTTTGGTATGCAGGACCTTTGTGTTTTGTAAGGGAGAGTTAGTTTGGTTTAAGAATAGTCACTTTTTTGGTTTAAGAATAGTTACTTTCAATAGTCACTTTATCTATTCATCTGTTGATGGGCATCTAGGCTGTTTCCATAGTTCAGCTATTGTGAATTGCACTGCTACAAATATGGCTTTGTGAGAATCACCATAGTATGATGCCTTGAACTCTTTTGGGGAAAATATCCAGGAGTGGCATAACTGAACCCAATGGAATTTCTAGTTTTAGTTCTTTGAGGAGTATAATTAAACAATAAAGAAAGATGAATTCAAGCAGGAAAATGGATGGACCTTGAGACCATAATGTTGAATGAAATAAATCAGAGGCAGGTTAAATATCACATGGTTTTTCCTATTTGAGAAATCCATAATATATATAAATTCGAGAGTAAAATAAAGGAGAGGTCATAGAAAATATTAAGGTAGAGTTTTTGGAAATGGGGAAAGTGATCAGAAGAAAGGGGGGAGACAGGAACATAAAGAGGAAAGGGGATCAAAAATGATCAAGAATATATATATGTTTTGAGGAATAATTATATACATCAAAAACATGTACTTATTATGTATCACAAACATGTACCACAAAACAAAAATTTTTTAAAGAACACAGTTGCTGAATTATAAGACCCTTAAAGTTGCACTGTAACTGGTAATAGCTTTGGGTAAATTATGGTCTGACCAAGAATCTTTTTAATTTGCAGTTTCTATCTGTATGTACATAGAAGCATCTATCAGTGGTGAATTTGAAGCAACATGTTATTCTGTGCAGCACTTTACATAGTGTCTTTTTACCAGTAAATGTTCAGTGTCTATTGTAGGGTCAGCTGAAGAGGTGAGAGCTACTGCTGTTTGGGAAATGGAAGTAGGTACTTGTCTCTGATGGCATACTCTAAGATTACACACACTTGCAATAAGCCATGCATGAGTTTTTAAAAATTATATTCATATTTTCTGCATGAAAAAAGCAGGTAGGATTCTGCATGAATCAAGCTGTCAAGGAACAGAATTTGAGACTTGCCTGACCAGTGGGAGGGAAGGCCATTCCCTGGAAAGTAAGACTAGTGTCTCAGAGAATGAAGAGTCTAAATAACTAGTGACTACTAAATTAGTCAAAATCTTAGCAATCAAACTGAAAAGGAGATGGAATTTATTGGACAAGTACAATTTATATCTACGTATTGAAGATATTGTAATGCTGATCTAAAAGCTTGTATCTGGGTTACTTATACTCAAGTTATTTTTTTCTTTCAGCAAGTGTGTGTGTGTGTGTGTGTGTGTGTGTGTGTGTGATGCTATTTCCCCCTGGAGTTGCTATGTCTTCATTTCACTAACATGTGTGGAAGCCACTACCTTATAGCCAGAACCCTCAATCTCTCCCAGTTCTTGCAAGGGCAGTCCTACACGTAACAATGTTACCTGAATCTTCTCATGGACAATCAGCTGAAACTAGCATCTAGCCTGTTTTGCATTTTCCAACCCATATGCTTACCCAACATGAATGTTGATTAATAACGCATCTTTAAGACCCAAACCCATCAGATTTGCTTTGCATATATAGCCACAAGCTGAGAACCAGTTTATCTGGTTTTCCTTCTATCGGGGCAACTTGCCTTTCATAAGGGCAAGATACTGTCCTTTCCATGTTTGCCAAAATGCTTATTTAATAGAAACTATTTATAAATGTTAATTTTAGCACTTTTTTTTCCTTGAAAACCACATGTTCATGTTTGTTGAAGTTTTTTTCTTTTCTCTTCTTTTTCACCACAACCGGCTTAACTTACTGGAAAAAAATAATATTCATATTTAAAGAGGTATATTTTCCAGCTGAAACTGAAAACACTAACTGCTTCATCCGCGATGATCTGAGAAACCAGCATTTCTCACAGAGGCCCATTATGCTGAGTTAACATTTTCGTGTGTATGTTGAAAGAAAATTAGGTTCCAAAGAAAGAGAAGGGTCATATGGAACGAACTCCTTTGAGACAATATTACCAGCAGTGGTCAAGACCAGTGGCCAAAGCTTTTACACTGGAGAAGGCCTTTCTGAGAGCTCCTGTGACTAGAAGAGGAAGATAGTTTCTGGTGCTGCTCTTCCCCTTTCACATTCATAAAAGGGTGTTTTGTTTAGTCCTGCAAGCTGCAGAGACACCCCTGACAATGTGTGGTCCAGAACAGGTGGCTGGGATTACAGCTTCGATGCACATCAAAGGCAGCCTCAGAGAGGAAAAGAAAGGAAGGAGCTGGCCCTGTAACTTCCTGAAGGATACGTGGAGGACAGTGGAGAGATTCCCCGTGAATTTGCTGCAGCAGCCTTAGGAGCCGGCACTCAGAAGTTTACAGGGTGGCCCACACCCGTATGTGCGCCACCTGAGAGCACGACCCACTGCTTTCCTTTGCTCTGTTTACTATGCCCTTTGACCATAAGAACATGGGTTTTCTTTACTATATTAGTTTTGCAGACTACAAGGAACAACAGTAAGCAAGTCAGAAGGCAAAGTGAAAAACTACTCTTCACTTTAGCCAGAGAGCAAGCCAAGCACTGCTTTGGGGAAAAAGACACACTTGGTTCTGTTGTTTCACAGTTGACTATTTGAAAATACCTGCTTCCTTAAAGCCTACTTACATTTTTTTTTCTTTTGCAAAGAAAGCCATTGCCATTCCTAGCAGGAAGTCTCGCGAACTTGGTAAGATTATCTTTGTCCTACGTACAATACCAGGGTATCCCAGTAGCAGCACTATTGACATACTGGGCTGGATTTTTTTTTGCTGTTAGATCTGTGTTATGCATTCTAGAACAGTTAGGAGCATTTCTGTTGTCTTACTACCAGATGCCAGTAGCACCCTCACCTCCATCCCTAACTGTGCCAACCAAAAATTTCTCCAGACAGTGTTCTTTGGTGCGCAAACTCACCACCACTTGAGAACCACTGGTTATACGATTAGTACGTTACAGATCCTGTTTTGATAGTTGCTCTGGAAAACATGATATAATGCTAATGTGGCCTTGACTATTCTTTTCCTGAGTTTGCCTAAAGACCTTAGTTATAGGACTACTCACTTATACCATAGACAGTACTGCTTGATCAGATTACCAGACAGATACAGCATCTCTGAGACAAAATCCTCTTATGATGATGTAAGATAAAACTTGTCCTTCGGTGAGGGATTACTGGAGGATGGGAAGTATGTAGAAGGGGAGGGGTGTGGAAAAGAAGGATGGAGGAACACAATCTATGCACAGTGTGTGCATATATAGAAATATTGCAGTGAATCCCTTTAATTTGTATAAATAACCTGTGTTGGTAATAATAATAAATATTAAAAATAGCTACTAGAAAATTTAAATTAAAAACAACTTTTCATTAATAAAGCACATGAAGGGAGTACTGTACCTATTGGACCAAATCAAGTTAGAAAATGGGATATTTTCCATTTCCTATTTTGCAAGTTGTAGTCTGCAGCTAGGGATCTGAGGAAAGGACTCTAACTACCATAGATAAAGTTAGTTCACGAGATCCTGCAAAAGGTATGTTTTGACAGACACACAAATTAAGAAATATTCTCACTCATTATAAAAGGCTTTCCAATAAGTTGAATGTGCTACTTTCATTTTACATGTTGCTTATTAGAAAAGAATCTAGTAAATATGAGAGTGGTTAGGTTTAGAGCTAGAGAGTGAATTTTAGAAAAAAGCAATAGTTGTGACTCATTCACTTTCTAAACTTTTACAGTCATTTACCATAATTGTTTTCTTTGCAGTGTATCTCTATAACTCTCCTCCTTTGTAGTGTACTAATTACTGGTAACACTTTCATGGTTATCCTAATTTGTGCCATTAAAGGTCTATGACAATGAAACATTTCCCCAGTTGCGTTTATCCTCTCAGGGTCCAAACCAGAAGACCAGACTGAAGTTACTGGGGCAAAAGATCAGCAGACACCACTCTTGAACTATGTGGCAGAATTCTTTTCCCTGGAACTTGAATTTAAATGGCTCAAGACATGGAATGAGTTCTTGAAAATGGTCCTTTCAAAAGACTTCACTGAAGGCCAGAGACAAGACTCACTGAAGACAAGGTATATGAGAATTATACTCTGAAAGAGCACTTTGATTTCCATGCTGTCATTTCTCCACACTATTTCTTTTTTAGCTTGTTATTAAAAAGTGAATTCTGCTTCTTATGGTATGTATCTATATTTCTCCAATAAGATTACAAAGAAGGCTCAAGGGCTTTCATGCCCAGGGGCTCTTAAAATATAACTAGCTTTTCATTGCACCAAAACTAGTCATAGTGTAGATTTCTTTTCTAGTTTGTTATTGTCTTAGCAGTGTTGCTTAAGAAGTCTTAAAGATACTTGAAAAAAAAACATATATTTTATAAGGAATATAATGTAGCATTTTGTTTGTTAGCTTTCTGGTAAATCTATGGACATTTAATCAAAATAGAAATCAACTTTTTACTAATTATTAAACCTCTAAATTTATGGAAATGCAGTACAGTATATTCCTAAATAACCACCCTAAGGCCTTTCTTAGTGGATTTAAAGTCATATCAATATATTTTCAGAAATCAATTCAGGAAGTCTTACCTTTACATCTTCTGGAGCTGGCAAAATTGCAGGATCCTGGAGCAAAAGAAAATTAGGTCTGAGTTATTTTTTTCTAAGCCAAAAGGCTACTTTTATATTAATTTAAAACTATTTAAACCTTGTAGCACGTGTGATCTTACCAAGTCATTCACATAGTTTTTCAGCCGATCAACAATATCTATAAGTTGACTCATCCTAATCATGAAGCGGTCTTGTCTTTGGGAACTTGATTTATGGGCCATTGTCCCCAAGAAGATGACCATCAGACAGATAGCTATCCTTTCCATGTTGCCAGGACTGGATCTCATGAATACCAACAGTAGAGCAAGACCTTGGTCTCCTTTGCACTTCAGTTTGACAGTGAGCAGGTTGTCAGTAAAGCTACCTATTTATTCATCCTTCAAGGAGAGGTAAAGCCCTCCCATTGCAGCCTGGAAATCTTTGTAAAATGGATGAATGTGAGTAACTCTTTTTTCTTTTCCACTGGCTAGGTATACGTGTGCATGTGCTAATGCGTGGGGGCAGGGATTGATGGAGTCAACGAAATGTGCCCAATCTGCATCTTAGACAGGAAAAAGAGAGAAATGGGTGAATTCCAATTTTCAGCATGAATCAAGAAGTGTGTGTGTGGTAAACAGTAGATACTATAAGACCTTAAAAAGTAAACACAAACACTTTGATCTCCTCTTCTCTGCATCCCCTGGAATCTTACCTGTTCTCCCTGACAGTCATAAGAGCACTCCTCTAATGAGTAAAGTGGCAGCAAGTGCCTCTTGCAGGACTTTTTCTTGTAGTCATGACTATATCTTTTGACTGAAATCATCCTGTATTCTATCATGAATGTAGGGGAGGTTACCTTTTAGGAAATTTTAAATAAAAGGGATATTTTCCTAACTAGCAAGAATATTTTAGATCTTTATCAGGCTTCAAGAATTTAAAATAGAATTTGTTTCCAATTCTCCCTCAGAGCCTCTTTAAATAACATTAATGTTGGCTTCTGGCATCTTATTTAACAATCTGATTTATAAATATTATATTATAAATGATTTTAGTGAAGTCTATAAAAATGTACCCCCAACCAGGATCTCACTGTACCTTCTCTAAAATAATCACCTACAAGTTACCTAATATCTATCTTTTCTGTATCATCAGTTAAATAAATGAGAAGTGTTGATACTCATTCATGTCCAAATCCAAAAAACTTTATAAACATCAAAATCAAAGAAACCCATAAATGGTGCTTTTTCTTTTGGAGTAGTGTTACTTATTTCTGCTAGATATTTTTTTTCTCTGGGTATGAGCAACACATTTTTAGCTGCATCTGTTGCAAGTAGAAGTTAAAGGACTCAAAGTCCAGAAATGGTTTTATCATTCTCTCTTCTCTTTCTCTTATTCTTGAGACTTTTTACCTATTTGAGAAAGTTGCATATAGTAGCCTAGCCCAAAACAGTCTGTACACAGGTAGGTCTTACCAAAAAAATCTGTTATAATTGTCAAGCTAAATTGGAGTTTGGACTTGATTTGTTCTGAAGGGTAACTGTGGTCTTTTTATCATACCATGTCTACTCAAGAATACACAGTTTTGCTGCAAGCAATGGCACGTGTCTGTACTCCCAACTACTCAAAAGACTGAAGCAGGAGGATCGGGAGTTCAAGGCCATCTTGGGCAACTTAGCAAGACCCTATCTTAAAAACTGATGATAATAATAATTAAAAGGACTAGGGATGTAGCTCAGTAATAGGGCACTTGGCCAGCATGTGTAAGGTCCTAGGTTCAGTAACTTTACCCACCAAATTACCAAAAAAAAAAAAAAAAAAACAGATTGGCCTTATATAGTAGATGAGAATTCTTACAATATGTTCAAGAAGTCCTCCCTGTAATCACTGTATTCTGTAGGGGTGGGCTCTTTGTAAACTTCCTAACTGGTCTGAACTAAGGATTGCCACTTGGCCTCTCAGCATTGCCTGCTAGGTCCTGGTGCATGCTTTCCTTATCTACCTAAAGAGATACTTATCTCCTTGAACACACTAACCACAGTGGTTAAGGGCTCAATTTCTAAAGCAAAGAGCTTGAGTTTAAATCCAGACTTTTAACAATGAGTAGTATATGTGATGCTGGGAATGTTATTGCAAAGGGAACACAGAATCTAATGATAGAGCTGCAATGAGACTTAAATGAGACATTCCAAGGACAGCACATGCTAAAATCCCAGGAGGTCTGCAGGCTGATTATGGATGACAGTGGAGAGGACAACTTACAGATCCACTGAAGGAAGGGTATGGGCAGGTCAGCACTAAGCCAAAGTATGTAAGTGTGGCTATAATGATTGTCAAACAGATGAAAGCCATACTGCCCAGTTAGAATCATTGTTCTCGACCCTGAGTGATTGTCTGTGATAATAGACACCCCAATCCCTCCCTGAAACCTCCGAGCATCCCCTCAATCTGTCAATCAACACATCAAAGGTCTCCAGGGTGCTTAAACCTTGCTGTGAGTAGAACTCCTACACCAAACAGCATATCAGTTATCAAACATTTTCAATGTCACCCCTGGTGTGAGAGACTGAATAGTGCCCCCCATATCCACTGTCCTAATTCCTGGAACATATGGGTTGTCACTTTCCATGACAAAGGGGACTTTGCATATGTGATTAAATGGAGACTCTTGCCATAGGGAAGATATCCTATGTTCAGATGAGCCCAACGTAATCCCTGGATTCATAAAAGGAAGGTAGGAAAGCCGAAGTGTAAGAGTGAGATGTGATGACAGAAACAGATTGGAGTGATTTGGGGGCCAAGCCAAGGAATGCAAGTGGGCTCCGGAAGCCGCAAAGTCAAGGAATGAGTTCTCCCCTGGAGCCTCCAAAAGGAACACCCCCACCCACACCTTGCTTTAACTCTATCAGGAGGCTTATTTTGCACTTTTCATAGTCAGAACTGTAAACTTAGGCTATGTTAAGCCACTGAGTGTGTGGTAGTTTGTTGCAATGGCAAAGAAAAGCAACGTACTTAGGTGTGGAATTTTTACTCTTGGGAAAAAAGGCAAGAAGAGTAGAAAAGAGAAAGGGTGATAAGGGAAGAACCAACAAAAGCGAAAATGTCCCCAGGCATTTGGAGTGTGCAGGCAGAGCAGACAAGGAGGCATGAGGAACAGAAGCAAGTGCGACTATGCGGCTGCCCCTTGTAGGGAACTTTGGGGATAGACACGCTTGAGAACTTTCCCGGGAATGTGGGGCTCCTTGCTTGGAGAAGGCGTCAGCTGCGATAGACACAGGATTCAAAGCTGTGACGCCCAGTTTACCTTCGTTTAATTTTTTTGTCACTATTTTGAAATGGAGCTTAGGCTGGAGTAGGGACATTTAACTGAGTCACTCAAGCAAAGCAGATCATCCTTTTCTTAGAAAAGTGTTACCTTTGCAGCAGCTCGTCATTGGGGGTCTTTATAACTTTTTACTGTTCAAATTATAATCACTGTTATAACCTGGATACAGTCAGTCTTGCTATAACACTTGCTTTGAAAATGAGAGTTTATCCTCATGGGAACAATTTGAACATATGAGCTTGATGTTCTCTTATGTGCAGATCACTATGTGAATGCAGAAAACGATCCACCTGAGCTGAGCTGTGTGAGAACATACAGATGTACTCAGAGCTCAAACACCCACCAGCAACAGCACTTCAGTGCGCATGTCAGGAGCCACACCCAGCCATGTCTAGTGTCACAATCTTTGACCCCAGAGAACCCTCCTTAGCCACATCTTAGTGACTCCCCAGCTGCAGTCTTCTAACCCCCACCTCCTCTAGGTCAAGTGCCATATTTGTTGTACTATTTATGTATTTCTTAACCATGCAGCATGTCCAATATGTCTTTTTCATTAAGTTCCTATCTCTTTTTCTGTGTTACTGATAATGTTTTTGAGTGTTCCGCCCCAGTCCTCAAGTTTCCCAAAAGCCTGTGGTTTTATTGTGCAATTTTATGTAGGGAAGTGATTTTTACAAATGTGTATGTCACTTTATAGCAGAACAGACTATATTTTGTTCTCAAAAATCACATTTAGTCTTCATCAGCAGCTATTATATCCAACTGAAAAGCAAGACCAAGATAAAGGATTTATTGTTAAGGAGAGAGGAAAAGAGAGGAGGACAGAAGGCAGAAGGGATAACCAGTTTTCTCATGTTTAGCACCTGAGCGTAGGTTATAGAGAAACTCTAGCATCCACTCCTTGTGCAGGGCCTTTCTCTTGGCATCTGTGGGATTCTATAGATGTGTTCCAGGAATCCATGAGCCTCCTAGAATCATGGTAGAATTTTGTATTAATATTTGTGAGGAGAGCAAAGCCTTAAGGTTCATCAGCTTCTCGGAGGAAATGTCATACAACTGCTATCTATATCTTCTAGCCTCCAGAGACCTTTGTTATGGCTGTGTGAACCATTCCTTCAACACATGCACAACAATAGCCATAAAAACAGCAGCTCCAGAATTTCCATCCAGGAGACCCTGAGAGGCAGCAGGCTGGCTGGAGGCCACACTTGTACAGTAACTACACTATTTTGACTTGGCGTCCATATTTATTTGGTACCTTGGAGTGAGGTGATGAATTTCGTCTGGTGTGTTCTTCCCAGGAACTTAAAAAAGTTTAATACTGTTAAGGCCTGAAAGCACTTGAATTTTCTATGCAAGAGGATTCACAGACATATTTCAAGAACTTTCTTTAATGGCCTATGCTTGTAGATATCTGATTAGGACAGACATGAGACCCAAGGAGCTGAAGGAAAGCTTCCAGCCAGGAAGGAAGTAGGGAAGGAGATGAAGTCTCAGAGTGAATAATTTTACATGGGGAAAGCTGGGCCAGGTCTAAAACTGGACTGGACACTTTTTGCGCCCATGTCCATTGCTCTGTCTTCAAGCACTTCCTGTGACCCTTTGTGTCAAGTACTCGCTTTCTGCTCTCATTTGTAGTGAGCCCTCAAGGGTAGAACTGGACATTCCACGTGGCAAAGTGAAGAGAAAAGCCTCCAGCATTTAGAATGATGCTAATTCATGATATGTGCTTCTCCTGCACCCCAAAAGGATTCAGACAGGGGGCTTATTTCCGGGCTGGTGTGAGCCTTATACAGGTCTATGTCCAACTTGAAGAAAATCTTCACTAGATTAATTTGAGGCACTTTTTATAAATTCTAATAATGTTCAAGTAACCACTGAAATATTTTAATTTGTTTGACTTGAGAGAGAAATATCAATAAGAGTCCTCAAGGATTTGCTACAGTCCTATCTGCCTTCCAGTTCACTTACTTTGAACTTACCTCTCTTCTGTCTTTTCCGTGAATTAATTGCATTTATTAACATCACTGATCTGATTTCTTTCCTAGATTATATGTGAAAATAATGTGTATTTATAACCTACACATATATAACAAGATCAGTGCCTTCTAATATT